TAATGTTTGTAGAATTATAAATTAAATTGTTTTATTTGCCGTGCAGTGCAGCGCGAAATGAATATTAAGAGAAAGCTCAGCCGGAAAATTAAGCATACAAGAACACGTGCGTTTAAAATTTAATAAATAAATATCTCTTTTAATTTATATTTAATTCGAATAAATGTTAATTGACTAGCCGTAACCGTAATTCTACTCTTTTTGCTTTCGAGATATTGCTAGAACAATCTCGTGCGGCCGATTTAAAAGGCTATAAAAGCCAGAGAGAGAACATCTCTTCAGTTGTTCACTGTAGCGAATTCGCGGCGCGATTGGCTTAGTTTTCTCTACATTTCTCCGTTTTGAATTAAGTTCTGTTAAACGTTTTAGTAGTTTAAAAGATAACTACTGTGAGAAATCGGAATATTGTACGAATATATCCAAGGAAATTTAAGCATTGTTCTTTCATTTGTTGTGATAATAAATTTTATTCACTTTTCATCGGACTTGTGCATTCAATTTATTGCACGCAACCCACGTACGCTAGCAACACTTTTTGGTGTTAGGAGTGGGGTTTGAATGCCAATAACAAGAACGATGGAAAAACAATTAAGGCAACTGATATCAGCCTTTGCCTCGTTTAAAGAAGAAGAAATGAAATCGAAACAGAGATCGATTAAAGAAAAGATGGAAGCTGTTAAGATGAAATGAAAATGGGCCAAAAGGAAATAAAAAGAGAAATTACTTGCATAATAGAAAACTTATTTGAGGCTATGGAAGGCAGAAGAGACGCGGTGGAAAATAAAGTTCGACAATTTGAAGAAAAAGTTTCTTCTGTGAAAGAGCAAATAGAAGACAAAGTTTCGGCCGTGGAACAACAAATAGGTTACAGAATTTCTTCTGTGAAAAAAGAAATCTAAGGAAGAGTTTGTTCCGTTCAACGGCAAATCGAACAACAAATTGATGACAGGGTTCTGCGGTTGCCAAAGAAGTTGATACCTTAAAGAAATTCGTAGCGACGGCAGGGATCAATTCGGATGGTTTTAAATATTTACCGATGCCTGCTCATCCGTCTCTGAAGCTATCCACGTCTGATGGGAAGATCTCGGGGCAAGTATATAAGACACAATTTTCTATAGTTGCGGTTATGAATGGATAGGATTTCCAAGCTAAGGCTTGTCTTCTCGCCGCTTCTTTAAGAGCAGACGCTGCGGATATCCTTCAGACTCTTCCGGAAAACCAAAGGCTAGATTTCGAAGATTTATCCGGCGCGTTGGAACTGCGCTTTGGTGAGAAATGTGTAAAACATTACAGCAGGCTTCAATTAAAATCCTGTCAACAGAAGCCCACGGAAATACTCCAGGAGCTAACCACGGATGTTGAAAGGCTGTCCTATCTCGCCTTTTCGGAGTGCCCGACAGAAACAAGAGAAACACTCTCCCCGCAATGCTTTATCGACAGCATCAGGGATTCTGAAATACAGAAAGATCTGTGAAAGGCAGATGTCAAGGACGTGAAAAGCGCACTAGTGTACGCCATGAAATTTGAGACAGCCCATCAAGCCACTCGTAGAGACCGCTACCCAATTCAGAGCTGCTCTAGTCCAAAAGCCAGAAGATCAAAGGGCTGCTCGTCTGGATGATTTAACCCGACAACTCAATGCATTGAGACGGAATATTAATGACAAGAAACTAACTTTAAAATGTTTTAACTGTACAGCTGAAAGACACATACGATGAAACTACAGAACACCCCAGGGCACGGGTGTTAACACCACTCCTAGGAAGCAGTAAGGAAACTAATTAGTGGCCATCTTGGGGGGCGTAGGTTTCCAAATAATGAAAAGCCCCAGTTTAAAGCGCTTCAGATTTCTGCAGGGAGAGGCGGTAGTAATAGACTTTTCATAATAGGACATATTAATGGACCATTATAAATGTCCAACAGCTGAGAAGCTTCCTAGGGCTTTGCACCTGCTGAAGGACTTTTTTTCCATCGCAAGACGCCCTTCACAAGCTGACAGAGAGCAAGCAAAAGTTCTTGTGGACAAAGATATGTGAGGATGCATTTAAGAACCTCAAGGAAGCTTTAACATCGGCTCCAATCCTGACGTATCCTCAGCTCGATAGACTATTTATTCTTGACTCGGACGCGAGCAATGAAAGTGTCGTTGCTGTTTTGTCCCAAGAAATAGACAGCCGAGAATATGTAGTGGTTTACTGTAACAAACGCCTGTCTAAAATAGAGACAAAACTACTGTGTCACCAGGAAAGAGTTGCTCGCCATAGTCAAAGCCGTAGAATATTTCCATCATTATCTATGCGGCAGAAAATGCCTCCTCCGCACGGATCATGCATAATTGGCCTGGCTTTCAAATTTCAAGAATCCTGACGGTCAAATAGTCAGGTGGATACAGAGAGACTCCAGGAATATGACATCACTATCCGTCATTGGAAGGGATCATTCCACAGAAACGCCGACGCCCTGTCTAGAAGACCTTGTCCAGAAAGCTGCCGATATTGCTCCAAGGTGGAAGCAAAATACGAGCTGCTGAGTCCTGTCGCAAGACAAATTGCATCAACATTGGCTGATCGAGACCCGTGGAGTGCTGTTGAAGTCAGAAGAGACAGAAAAGACCAGCTACAAGACCGAGACATTCAACCTATAATTGATTTAATGGAGTCATCAAACAGAAAACCTACCTCGCAGGACATTTCGAGCTCTAGTCCTACAACAAAACAATATTGGGTACTCTGGGATTCACTACTTATTCGAAACGGCGTTTTGTACAGAAAATTTGAATCGGATGATGGAAAGACATTCCAATGGCAGGTGCTACTTTAAAGATCTCGGATTCTCGATGTCCTTAAAGAACTACATAACAGCCCTACAGGGAGGTGACTTCGGAATAATGAAGACCTTGCAGAAAGTTGGCGAACGCTTCTACTGGAGTAATGCAAATGAAGACGTGAAAAAAAATGGTGCCGATCTTGCGAAGCCTGTGGAGGTCGGAAAGAAACCGAAGAAACGAAGTCGAGGGAAGTTGCAACGTTACAATGTAGGAGCATCTTTTGAACGTATCGTCTTTGACATCTTGGGACTTCTGCCACGAACTGCTGATGGCAACAAATACATCCTCGTTGTCACTGATTACTTCACCAAGTGGTCTGAAGCGTATCCTATTCCACATTCCGATCAGGGAGGGTATTTTATCTCGGCTGTAATCAAAGAACTCTTCAAGCTACTAGGTATTGACAAAACCCAAACGACGCCTTTACATCCCCAGTCAGACGGCATGGTAGAGAGGTTTAATTGAACCATCCTTAATAACCTCTCATTAGTGATTTCCAGAAAACCAACAGGACTAGAACCAGAAGTTGCGAATGTTTTTACTGGCTTTCCGCAGTGCTGTCCTCGAGACTACCGGCTATTCCCCTTCTTAGATGCTCTTCGGTCAAGACCTTCATCTGCCTTGTGATCTTTTGTTCCGTCGCCCTCCAGATGCACCTTCATCGCCTGAGGAATATATTCAGGATCTCCAGGTCCGGTTTGGAGTGATGCACAAATTTGCACGAGAACGAGTCAATTTGGCGACGGAGAAGCTGAAGACCCGATACGACACGAGAAGCTACTGAACATCGATTCAGGGAAGAAGACATGGTGTGGTTGTGGGATCCGACTCGAAGGAAAGGATTCTGTCCGAAACTACAGTACAATCCCATTCGGTTAAAATCTTACGTCGCGAACTCTCACGGTGGCGTAAAAGTCTGTACACATGGGGTCCGTACACACAGTCTGTGGGATGGTCCGTACACAGTCCTAAACAGGCTGAACGACGTCGTGGTTCGGATCCGTAATCATCGAACTCTAAACCTAAAGTCGTTCATTACGACATGGTTAGCTTATCACTATGGCCATAGTACGTAGTAAGACCATGATCTTTTTTGTATTTAGTATTTGATAGTATTTGATTTGTATTTAGTATTTGATTTGCTTTAAGTTACTATTGCAGTTATTGTTTATGTTATTGGTTATTGTAATGTAATGTTTGTTATTGCATGGATACCTTAGTTGTAAGTTTGGCTTCCTGCCCGTGACGTACAGTACTTGGGAAGTGGGCAGTGTTACGGATTTGGCATTTAATTAACTAATGTTAGTAGAATCATGAACTGTTTTTATTCCCTGCGCAGTGCAGCGCGTGACGAATATTAAGAGAAAGCTAAGCCAGAAAATTAAAAATATGAGAGTACGTGCATTTAATATTTAATAAATAAATATCTCTTTTAATTTATATTTAATTAGAATAAATGTTAATTGACTAGCCGTAACCGTAATTCTACTCTTTTTGCTTTCGAGAAACTGCTAGAACAATCTCATGCGGCCGATTTAAAAAACTATAAAAACCAGAGAAAACATCTCATTTCAGTTGTTTAGAAAACTGTTGTTGTTTACTGTAGCGAATTCGCGGCGAGATTAGCTTAGCTTTCTCTGCGTTTCTCTGTTTCGAATTAAATTCTGTATAACGTTTTAGTAGTTTAAAAGATAACTACTGTGAGAAATCGGGTTATTGTGCGAATATATCTAAGGAAATTTAAGCATTTTGTTTTCATTTGTTGTGATAAGAATAAATTTTATTCACTTTTCATCGGACATGTGCATTCAGTTTACTACAAACCCGTATGCACGCAACAATATTAATTAATTTAGTATTCGTAACAACTTAAAAAGTTTTACTTGCGTGCACATAAACATGGTAGTATTGTGTAATACTTAGAATGCAGCTTGACTGGTTTAGTAATTATTTCAGGTGTGTCTTTTACGTTGGAGTTCAAGTTTGCAGTTTTCTGATGGTGTATCATAACTTTCAGTGTGACAGTAGAATTGTATTATGATTTCAGCAAGCAATAAATTAATCAGTAAGGGATAAGAACTAATTACTGAATTAGTACGTACTTGTCCAAGCTGACAGTAATAATGCTCATATTTTGTTCACCCACATATGGAAAAATATGTCTAGCACTTACTTTGGCCTGGCTTTCCTCATCAAAATAATTTTGTAGGTAGTAAGAGGCGAGAGCGATTCCAAGGTTTTTGTTAACGGTAGAAAAGCAGTATTTCCAACGAGTGCGCTGTGGATTGTCTTGCAAATTTGTCCATGCCGATGACAATAACGGCAAAGATTCCTTAACAACTCTCCACATCATGTAATTAGCCACCGTTCTGAAGAAAGGTAAAACAACTTCAATACAACTAGAGCTAGTCTTTTCTAGCAGTCTATTTCACACATTAACATAAATCGATTTTGAAATAGACACTAGTAATCCTTACAAAATATAATCCTCACAGAATTTTCTTACCTCTTTTCGGCTTTTGTGATGAAATCCGCAAACTTCCTCACGAAATCAACATTCTTAACAATCACAGTTTCATTTTCAAAGATTTGATCATTTAGTAGTCCATTGAAGAGCTTAAGCCAGTCAATCTATTGAAAAGTAAGAGATATTTTTCACTCTTTTATTCATACAGAGGAAATGTTTTAACAAAAAACCTAAAAAGCAAAATTAAGCTTATTGTTAGATTTTCTTGCAAATCTGAAATCTGAATGAAATTTGAATGCATATTAGAAGGAATGCAGAAATTATTAGTATCGTTTAAAATAAGTTAACTATCTTTTCTACTTAAATAAGTAGAAAACGAGTTGGACAAATGTGTTAATTCTAAGTTCCGCGATAGTTTCATGCTACGATATTAAAACTTAATTCAACTGTAGATTTTAAAGAATTTTAAACGGAGATTTACTTGAGTATTAAATATAAATAGTAACAGTTTTTAATTATATGTGTGAATAAGTACAGAAGATATACATCATTCCAGTTTATCTGCTTTTAAACAACATAATTGTATGTTTGCAGATTTGTTTATTGTACACTCATAAAAATTTGCGCACCAAGAAAGAGTTATCAGAATGAAACGAAATTTTACATATGTAAGTACTACTTTGATATAAGTAAGTGATTAGAAAATCAAAGAAAAAATAATTTATTGTAGAAAAACATAAATGGATGTTTTAGTACTCTGTTGAACCACCTCTAACGCGAATGCACGATGCGAGCATTGTGGCATACAAGTTCCGTATGGTGTCCTGAGACATATCGTTCCACATTTGCTGTAAGTGCGTCTGTACATCGGCTAATCTCGTAGGCAGTGAAACTCGCCGTCCCAAATGATTCCAGATATGACCGCTTGGTAACAAATCTGGGGATCGAGCAGGCCAGATAAGGGTGCTAATGTGGCGAAGGCAGTCTTGTGACATCCGCGCTGTGTGTGGCCGAGCACTGTCTTGTTGAAAACAGGCTCCTGGGTGCCCCGCCATGAATGGCAATACATGTGGCTGAAGGATGTCATGGACGTACCGCTGGCCTGTCATTATGCCATGGATCAATATTAGGGGTGACCGTGTATCGTAAGCAATGGCACCCCTTACCGTCACACACCAACTGTGGGAACGGTCTGTCGCTGTAAAGCGGATCCAGGATTGAGGCGTTCACCACGAGTGCTCCACACACACGAAACGGATTGTCATCACTGGTCAAATTGAATTTAGATTCGTCGCTGAAGACGACCTGGTTTCATTCCGTTAAAGTCCAATCGCGTCGTGCGCGGCTCCACTCCAAACGAAGGCGTCGGTGGATGGATGTCATTGGCAGCACACGTAATGGGCACCGCGATACCAGATATCCTTCAACGAGGCGCCTTGCGATGGTTCGGGATGACACAGGGGCCCGTAATGAAACTACTGCCTGTGTCTGGATAGCGGGCAATAAGGCAGTTGGTTGTACGCGTGAGTGTCTATGATGTGACGGTTTTCTCTACGACTAGTCTGTCGAGAGCGTTCTGAGCCTGGTCGCCGTGTAAATGACGTCTCTTCTGTCCACTGGTACCAACACCTCCTCACAGTAAAATCAGAACGGCCTACCTGACGAGCTGCTCGGAGCTGACTACCCAGCTTCCATTATCCCGATGATTCTTTCCCTGTCGAACTGTGACAGCTGCTGATATTGGCTTCGAGGGCGGTGTAACGGCATGACTACCTCAGCGTTTCCTTAGCAAAAGATTTGAGTACACTCAAACAAGCTCTACTTACCTGTTTTATACTCTAAGAAGAACGAAGTTCAACGCCCTGTAGTCGCATTACGCAATGCGCAGTCACGCTCCATTTCTAATCATTTGCATATCAACCCGACACGTACCTTCATGCCAAGTTTTCGTTACGATCTCACAATTATTTCCTGGTGCACAAAATGTTATGGCAATAAGTATAATATCAAACACATTAGATGAATTTCTAAGTGCCGAAGCATATGTTTAATGACTTAGATTTAAATTTATAAACAGGCTGAGTGACTGTTAATTACACAGTATACTAATTACGCAATACGGGACTACTTCAAATGTTGATGCGAAGACTTAATTATTTATTACGTATTATTCAAAGATTTATGATTTATTTATTCATTTGGACTAAAAGAAGCGTCCTGCCTACAGGAAAGAGGAGGAAGATTTAATAACTGGAATAAATTAAATATATATCTGAGCATTAGATATCTTCTGATTAATAAAAATAGTGTCATAAATAACGAAATATCGTGTTAGGAAAACTTACAAGATAATATAAATTACGGAATTTTAGGATTAGGTTACGGAAACGAATATGGCATTGTTGTAATTGCATTCGGTTTGGAAATCATCTAGTTTAATTCAAAACTGTCGTATTATTCTGTCATGACGCAAACTTTGCATTACCACCTATATTGGAGAAATTAAATTACTCTAATCGTCGGTCATCATCCTAAGTCTTTTTGAATTTTTTATAATTTTCAGGAAAAGAAATATTATGAAAAACATCAAAAGTCTGATAAACCATTTTTATCTTTACAATTAAGCCAGTTATATAAGCAAAAGACAACTAGATATAGATACTAGATGCAGTTACAGTTACAGTTAGTTTAAATTTTAATAGAAAACAATTTTAAAATACTACATTTAAATCCATGCTTTGCAAAATTAAGTCGCTATTTTCCCACTAAAGATTAAAAATTGGAAGACAGTTACTAAATGGATTCATGAAATGATAAACGAATTTAAAAATACAATGACTTACCTGCGGCTGAATATCATTGATAAGCTCATCAACTGTATAATACATGTTTTCTCTTTGTTCATGTGGTGAACAGAACTACAGAAAGAGATTCTAATCAGTTTAAAAATACAAAATGATTCATTTGCAGAACTACGAAATTTGAATAAATTATACAGTGAAATCATGATTGGAATTTATGGTTAAAATATTTATTTAAAACAATTTTTAAGAACATCCCCTAAGAACTGACTTTTCTTATTAAGACTTCTTATTATGACTTTTCTTATTAACATTGATCCCCAATCCCTATAGTATTCCAAATTTCGTTCTTATTATTTTCACGTATTTTCTGCCTGTTTTATATAACATATTCAGAGTATTTTTTCATTTTATTATTTCATCTCAACTTATTCTATAAATATAATTTCGTTTATAGTCATACTAGCTGGAAATATTAAGAAAAAAAATCATATCATTGCTTATAATGTTACTGACGTTAGACAGACTGAATTCAAACGTAGGATAACGTTTGATAGATATTCGTGCTCATGTGGCTAATAGAAACCAAGTAGCAAACAGTGGTGTGTTGTCGGACGCACTGAAGCAGAATAATTCGTGTATCTATTTTTTTCTTTGACATTGTTTATTCGGGAATTTCTTGACTGTGTAAATAATTCTAAATACGTCATGCAGTTGTTCAGAGATCTGTTCTCTATCAACCAAAGATCACTACTTTTGAAGATATGTATATTTACTATAGCAGCCAAGCGAAATCAAAGAATGACCTCCACAACAATTACATCCATGACTGCAAGCATCATTTGGCGAAGAGAGTATCTGCCAGTATTGTGCTCCGAAACCTTCGCATGAAGGAACTGTACCCCAGATTATTAAGTTTTTTGTGTCCAACCTAATCATATAGTTCAGGGGAGCAAGTTTAAAGTGCAGTGCATTGTCTCCCAAGGCAGTACCAAAGATGCTCTATCGGATTCAGGCCTGCGTATTGAGCTGGCTGTTCCATCCGCTGCATACCGTGGCCCTCAAGATATTCTTCAGCAACCCGAGCTCGGTGCGCATTGTCACCCATCAGAAGAAATAGAGGACTAATAGCAGCAAAATATGGGCGCACATATTGATTAAGAATCTCGTCTCGATATCTCACATCGGTCAAAGTTCCTCCATGAAACACAAGCAGGTCAGTGGGATCACACAGAGAGATCCTAGCCCAAACCATTATTCCACCACCACTGTAATTGTGTCTTTCCAAAATGTAGGATTGGTTTTATCTGTTGAGTTGTTTGCTCAAGATCAGCTAATGATTTGAATTACTCTCCTGTGTGAACCTGGACTTGTTTGTGAAGAGAACAGACGTCCGTTATTGACTGGTTCAGGAGACTTGTTCTCTTGCCCATCATAAACGGAAACCTCTTCGTCCTCATGTCGAGCGGACACAAACAACTGGTCATTTTGCATACAGACCTGTATTGTGCCGGCGTCTGTGATTATTATTGATTTATTGATGATTATGTCTGCGATTATAGATTATTGTTCTTATTGCCACTAACTGATCTGCCATGAGCTGCGGCACAGTAATGTTACTCCTTCTTCGGGGCGAAAGAGTTAAGTAACGGTCTCCCGCAGGCTTTTTAACTCTAGGTCTGCCTGGAACATGTATTCTAGACACAGAATCCTCGGATTCAAACCGATTCCATAGTAGGTGTACCACACTACGAGAGACATTGAGAGGTCCAGCAGCATCATCTTGTGACATCCACATTTTAATCCATCCGAACGCCCACCACCTCAACGAATCGGGCAAACGACTTCTCTTGGACATTGATAGCTTCTCCTAGTTATCGATCGCGAAACTGTAGTAACAACTGAAGATCAACACTAGTGAATAAAAATTACAATTTTTACATTTTTTCTCACACTCCTATACAAGTATTCATTTCTATAAAATAAAAGTGGTAAGTACTGTTTTTGTAGTAATTTTCTTAAACTTCTTTACTGTCATGCGTATGAACAGTGAATTTAAACATTACTGATATTTTGGTAATGGTGAGCTTTAAAAAAAACCTGCTGTTCCTTAAATTTGGAGGGCAGTGTATTTCTTGTATGGTGTGGTTGTCGTTTCTCTCAATCTTAGTGAAAATCTTTCAAATTCCTTCAACGTGCTGCCTTTACACTTTTACCTCCTCCTGCCGATCTCATACATTTGGAAACTCTTAACGGAGGAAGGTTATTGGTAGCATCTGTGATGTCTGATCACCTCATTGAAAGTATGGGAAGTCGCTGTAAATTTTGTGTGAAGATCCAGGGTGATGACATGTTTTGTTAATATAAGTTTTGTTTTTTTCTTAACTTTAAACGTCAGTTTGTTAATGACTCACATATTACGTTGTCATATAATTTACGAATATTAAATATTGTTTAGATTTTTGTGTATAATGCTTGGTTTCTTTCATGCACAAAACACATCAGCTTCCTTCATAAGCACTTTTTTAATCGAAGCTTTGCTCTTCCATTTTTGTTGATTTTACAGTCGCATGTTTAACTTTTAGAAGCCAATGCATTTAACATTATATAATAATGAAAAAGAGTTTTATGGTGTTATACAACAATATGAAAATTCCTGCAATCGTACTCTTTGACATATTGATGGGAATGCAACAATCGATGCTTAAATTCGGACGGAAAAGATTACACAAGTGAAGAATGAAAATATCATGTAGGATATAGAAATTTGGGTTTAAGAAAAAATTTAATTGAACAGAGATAAATAGCTTTATGTCATGAAGCTATAGGTTAGACAAGAAACAGATAAAAGAATGCATAAAGAAATGTAAAAATATGTTCAAGTATCGTCTATACAGTTAGAAATTAGCGCAATATATATGGATGCTCAGGCCATTGCCGCAAATGTCCAACAACAGATTTTTTCAGGATTTTCGACTATGTCTACTATAGCAGCAGGCGAATGGCTGCCTCACAATTTGCAAGAGAATTTGTTACGGTTACAAGATCTCGAGCACCTTGATATAATTGTGCCTAATAAGTCTTATAAACTTAATTATACAGATTTCTATGCGAGAAGACTAATGATTTGTGTCTTATTGGTTCTGGTTATGAAACAAGGCGGTTAAAATAATAACACAAGAGATTTCGTCATTGGAGCAGAAAACGATTACTCTCTGATGACATATCTGGGCTTTCTTCGAAAAGTGACCATAGATATGGTTTATCCTGGAAAGGCAAACACTTGTCATATTCTTAATAACATCAAATAATATTCATACGAAGGTATTGAGAAAACGATGTGGGTGGGCATAATTCTGCGTAACCCGAAAATCCCACACAGCTTTTCTGGTAGAATTGTGACACCAAAAAGTATAGAGCCAAAATTCTTAATCCATATACAAGTATGAAGTAATTTACAGGTCTAACAGGTGAAACTTTCATTGTGATGTGTAACATTCTGGATTAAACCGCGTCATATTGGTATCAAACTATCTTGAAAGCAAATGAATCTACGGTAAGAAGTAAACTAGAAATTAACTGAATTTAAATCCTAGTGAACATACATCGGACGCACTAAGACATCGATTTACATCAAAGCAACCACCGTATGACGGTCTGCGGGTGCTTCAGGATGCGAGTTAACAAGAAGTGACCCTGTAAGTATTCGTTAACAAAATAATGAAATATTAAGAGCTTAAAAGACGAAACGTCAGTAGTTGGAATACAAGTGGCGGCAGAGTTTCTATTTATTTTTCGGGGGGAGGTGTCACTATTGGCTATTGTTAATTCTTCTAATATTAAGTTATTCTGGAACAAAACAAACTACTTCTGGAAAATATTTTTAGGTAGCACAAAGAAACACAAGACAAAGAAACAACGCAAAGAAAGGATGTGATGCAGAAATTTCGTAATAAACAAGGTTTTCATTTATTTGTTTTAATTTACTGTAGGTTTTTTTTTTTTTTTTTTTTTTTTTTTTTTTTCAAATTTATACTTATAATTAGCCTAAAAGGGGCGTTGGTCCCAAATGGGATATTAATCTCAAAAAGGCATTTTGCGTTGAATCACTGTTAAACGGCTAAGCACTTTTCAGATTGTTGCTACGAAATATTATCGGCCTATATTATATTTAAAGAAATTAAATAATGAAGATTCTACATGCATGTATGTCCGTTTCTCGCATTTTGATAAAACAACGATACCTAGAGCCAATAAAATTTGAACAATGTAGTGCTCCAGGCGAATATAGGCACCTGTAAGCCCGAACTTTGAATTTCGAATTTATGTTATGACGTATTTCACATTTTATAAAATTTTAACTACTTTTTAATTAGCAAACTTAATGATTTAAAATCGAGCAGTGGCAACACTGTACGGGGAAAAAATTATCTCCACCTTGCGAGACTGTCTATCAGAAATTCTCAAGCTATGCTGTTTTTAAATATTTTGTGATTTTGCTGTTGAATCGAATTTTATGGGACGTAAGTGCCAAGAACGTAATATTTAATAAAGGAAGAAAACACACCCAAAACGGTAAGAACAAAAAGACAAAGATTTTGTAAAACCATCTTATTAAGAAAACTGAACTGCGAAGAGACTTAAAAAACGGAAAAATGTGTGCCAACACCTAAACCCTGCATCGGAAATTCTAAACACATGCTGCTATGCTTCTTTTCAAACGTTTGTAGTTATGCTATTGGCGTAATTATATGGCGTAAGGGCGAAGATGCTTAATAATAAAGCTAAAAAAGAAAAAAAAAAAAAAATGGGTGAGTAGATGTGCGTGTAACAGCAGACTGGTATAATGCGAGCTCAGCGAGAGCTTAAAAGGCTTAATAAATTCTCTTGGGTGACCGTAAAATCTGAAACCTTTCGCATTTTTTTAATAAATGAATTTATCACAAATACGTTCAAAATATTAAACATCTAGTATCACGAATATTAAATAAATAATAGTATATTCTAATTCAAATATTTTAACAAGTTTTTATTAATGCTTTAAAGACAATAATATATATCATTAACTTTCAGAAAGTTTTATCCACATTATCGTTACTTCGGATGGACATCCATTTTCTTCCATCGCATATTTACATTTTATAAATATATATTGTTCATGAAAATTTAAATTCCGTTAAATTATTTTTTATCTATCCTATTAAATTTCAAATATTTATGAGATCGCAACCTGTCTAAGGGATCTATCGAAATACATCCATGAAATTAATTTAAGGGCACATATTAATTTAGGGACACTGTTTTACACTGAGAATGAGTACTCTTCTGTTCATCTACCTGTTACCCAGCGATGCCTAATATTTCTATGCAATTTTTAGTTGTTAATTGCTGAATGAATTAATATATTATCATACAAGTGACGACAACTGGAAATCAGAATCGCATTCAAATTATGTATAGAATGTTTAGTTATTTTCGATGAAGGAAATGTGAAGAATCAATCTCATTATCTTCAAGGGAATGTTGATCAAATCCAAAACATTCAGTGCTAACTGGATAGGCTGAACACAATACTATACCACATTATATAAAGGAAAGAATTTTTATTTCCATACAGCCGGATCTTACTTGATTTTTGAATCCTTTCCAGAAACAACTGCAAAATTTTAATTTCAAAATGGTTAATTGAGCAGTATTTTTCTTGCTTCTTTTGAATAAATGAACGGAACAAAAATTTCGAGATTCACATACATTTTTATTTAATATCTAAATCAACAGAAGACAAAACTAGATTTTGAACAGACGCCCTTAAATAGCTGTTAAAAATTTTTTTAATGCTTCTTATTATGTTATCGCTCTGCTTTCTTTTGTAAACTGTTCTGCATGCTATGCGACAGAAAAATTTCAGATTTCATTACATTTTACATTACATGAACTATTATTAAAATACACACAGTTCACACATGCAAAGATAGATAGCTTCAAAATTCATAATTACATGCCAACAACTGTAAATATAAATAAAATAATATGTATAAAAGGAAATAATTATGAGAAATATACTAAGCAAGTAAAGATAGCAAACAAAATGTTAACTACAATTCAATCATTTTTCAAATCTTTATTCAAAAAAAGAACAGTATAAACATCTCAAAAATTAAAAAAAAAAAAATATCTTGCACTTACATTGGCGAGCATGATTTCAAACTCGAGAGCTTTCCGTAGTTCATGTTCTGAAGTACTTCTATTTACACCCAAATAATTAGCAGCTGTCAACATCTTATTGAAGTAATTTGCTGTGTTGGAGTCATTTAATCCAATTTTCAAAAATTCACAATCTACTCCTAGTGATGGCTCGCCCAACTTGTAAAAGAAATCAAATGATATTTTATACAAGTTGGTACACAAAAATGGAAATTCTTTCGTTAATGGACTTTTATTCAAAATACAGGATCAATATTTTGAAAAATTAATTATTTCATATGGTCATTTTTTGCTTACTTTCATAAAACAAACCACCATATTTTTCATAAAACCGGACTTCAAATATGTATTTAAGCAATGTCATGCACTGATATACGTGGATTTTAAATTAAAGAAACTTTTAGTACATTCTACAATACTTTTATATTATGAAGCGAAATCGTGAATAGTTTTAAATAACCTGTAATTTATACGTCCTTATACCAAAGAATTCCAAATACAATTTTATAGCAAAAATGTATGTATAGCTTGTAATTGCCACAAATGGGCGTACAGACATCACAATGTGTATCCATGATCGTAATTAGAGTTAAATTATATATATATTTATATATATGTTGTAGACTTAGACGTAATATTGTAATGATAAGCTGATAGCATAGATGTTTATTCATAATACAGAGTACTAGGAGGAAGAGACACACAGTTCTTTCTTGCTCGAATGTCTGTCTTACACAGTTCAAAGCTCAACCCCTAGAGGGGATCCAAGTAGGCATAAGTCCTTGATCAACCCAGACGAACAATTCTTGCTTTACAAAGTTTGGGTAACTGCAGAGGTGGATGGCCACTCATCCACCTAAAAGTCAAAGAAAACTTGTTTGACATCAGCCGTCTCCCAGTATTCACCAAAGGGAGCCAAACCCTCAAGGACAACCTTCAGTATCAAACCATGCAGCGTTTGAAATAACTCTTAGTTGGTGTTAGACACCCTTCAGCTTATATTGATATTTTAGGCTCGGCTTTGCCGTGTGCAGCCGATTTAGTGGTTTAGATAACTAAGGAGCTAGTCCTTTAGCCATTCTAATTTATTGCGATTATATATTTTTATGTTCTGTTCAATTTATTTTAGCCACACGTAGTGGGGAATTATGAGCACTAAGTGCGTACATCTTGTTACGTTAGTTCAAATAAAAAGGTTATTGAATCCTTCTTCTGTAGCATCCATTCTTCAAGACATAGCGAGAATTCTCTACGCATTCTTTCACGTAGGGTATACTGCGAATGCTCTCAAAAAGACATAGACTACACAATATTTATAAAAATCTTATTGGAAGTAATAGAAATTATTATGATTATCCTTCTGTTTTTATTATATCTATTGTGAAATCCTCAAAGAGAGGTATTATATTCAAAATTCTGTCATTTAACTTTACACACACCACTCCACACTTCGTCGAATTTTTCCGCGATTCATTGAGTTTTGTTTTTTCTAAGTTTGGCTGCAGTTATTAAACATAATTTTCGTAAAGCATGTACACTCACCTCTATGATATTAACCAAGGAGTCCTGAGGGTCTTCCGTAACAGACAAGCTCATAAGAGTATTGTGACTGAAGCCAGACTCGCGTAACTGAATGAGAGTTTCAAGCCAGTCGAAGGAGGTAGAATTCCATTTCTCGCCTTCAACCACCGGCCAGCGTCCGAAATTTTTCAAAACACTCTTCAGGGGTTCACTATTCAAAGCACCTTAAAAAACACAGGCAGGGAAAATTATATCATGATTCGTGTAAGATAATGTATTTAACGTGTAATTAATTGTCTTTCGGATGCCACACACATGATTAGGAAAATTTAGTTGTCTTTTACTTTTTTTGAATACCACACAGTGTTTGAATTTTTATTCATTTTATGTGATAAAGGTAAGAGTTAAATAAGCGACTCAAAATCTTACCAATACAAGATATAAAAGCGGTGCTCTGGCAGGTGATCGCCTTGTAAATCTCTTAACTCAGGTACAAAAGAAGAAAAGGTTAGATTTCTCTTCAAGCATAATTACGCGAAATTGGTCACCATGTTCGATATCTTAGCTGAAGAATATAAATTTGGGTGCAGAGGATCTCTTGGAAATTTTCTTTTGGTTTCAGAATTCAAAATGTTTTATTTTTAAAATAGATTTACTTAAAAAATTGTTAAAAGTTTTTGAAAATGGCATGGAAAATTAAAATTATAATTTGTACTAAGCATTTGAATAGCTTACTATTTCTCCAATTTGCAACCAGTAGATGGGATTAACCGCTGTAAATTCGATAATTTGCGGCGTGTTAACTAATTGAGATAAAGTATTTTTAAGATTGATTCTCTCCTTTTCTAATGAATAATAAAATATTTGACGAAGTTGAGACTTGAGAAGAGAGTCCTTTTTAAAATGCGAAAAAGATATTTTGTATGGGAGGGAAGAGACATTTATTTCAGCCAGCTATTTGTCATTTTATTTATGAACAGACATCGCTAGAAGGATTAGAAATCTCTGTTTCTCTAAATTTGAGATATAGTTTTAAATACCACATTTACGTTTAGTAAACACATTTTGTTTTATGCATGTTGGGTAGTGTTAAAATTTTTTTTTTTTTTTTTTTTTTTTTTTTTTTTTTTTTGCTTTAACTAATTTTTTTAATACAAGCAATGGTTGCAATAAAGTAAGATCGCTTTTTTGGCAAATTAGTGTGATTATTTCCTTATATTTCTGAATTTTTTAAAATGTAGTAAAATGTTTAGATAACAGGCATATGCTGTTATTCTCTGTACGTAATTCGTAAATTTAAAGATACTTTAAAATATAATTAATAAACAATCCTGGAAAAGTTTTATACTCACTCTTTTAAGCTAACTATTAGTGTGTGTATTTCTATGATTCAGCTTTACAGTTTCAATTGTACTCTGAAGTTTACCTAATTTGCAGATACTCAAAGAAAAATTAATTACTTCGGCATAGATATGCTTACTATTTCAGAATGCTGAAATTACGTTTAGAGAAATGATCTTTGGTGTATCTGAATAATAACATTTTGTCACGTGACGCTTCTTATACGCTACTTTCTTTTAAACTTATTATTTTTTTAACACAGTTTAAACCATTTAATTATGCATACTTTGAACACATATATCAGATGAACAAACTGAGACTTCTCCAATTCCTAACGCACATTACTTCAAACTTTCTTAAGCCTTTAAATAAATAATATTAATATATTCTTTCTCTATCTTTAAGAAATTGAAATAAAATAGCAGTCAGATTAATTATATTATCCAGAAAGTATTCAAATCTAGAACACCTTTAAAAGCGTTCTAATTAGCTCAGATGAAAATATAATGGTGTCCAAAACAAGACTAAATAAGAATATTACAACGAAGTCAAATAGTATATTATTAAAAGGAGTATCTGGGATTAGTCCCCATACAGAATCCAAGGTTTTACAAACGTTACTTTGAAAATAATTATATAGTATTTTCAAAACTTAAGCTTAAATTTCGTACAGAATAAGGTAAAATCTTAATTTAGGAGGATATTTAATTGTTTATCTTTTTTAATGCTCTATCATTTGTGCGTGTGTGTGGTGTGTATGTGTTTTTGCGTATTTGTTTGTTTGTATGTATAAATGTGTACTGAAGGATATGATTAGCGACAGGATTTATTAAGATGAAGAAAATGAAATATAAGTGGTATGATGTATTAATTTTATAGAATAGATATATTATCTATCGTTATATTATTGGATATATGTAACTAAAAACAAAATTTTCGGTTCAGACATACCAGCTATATTAGGACATTAGCAGAAATTTAAAGAGCAACATATGTGATACTACAGAAGCAACATCTATAAGAATGATTACATTAAGTTTCCTTAAATAGCTCTTTGATGATTTTGATTTTAAATCATCCATTTTCAGCTGCCTAAATTTTAGTTACAAATAATCAGTTATTATAGAAACATGGAATCATGTCATAAAATTTCATCGACACAGCTCCTATTTGCCATCACAACCTCCTATTGTCTCCACAACCTCTTAGCATGTTGCGCATGGCTTATTGTTTGAAACCTTAACAATGGTCAGGCGAAAGACATCGGTGCTTGTATTTCGTTCGAGTCCATTGGCTCTTTCTTAATGTTATCAAAAAGAGTAAGTTTGGAAGTTCAAGGTAGCGACTGCATGCATTATTTCACAGTGGCACTGCAGACGGGCTTTATAGTAATTTAGATCCTATGCCACTTTTGAGATTGTTTTTCTTATGTATTTGTCCATTGAGATCCTATCTGCTTTAAGTGTGCTCAAACACTTTTTATACAGCTCATTGCGAGCAAGAATACCTAGTATAAGGAAAACATATTTACACGGACCAACGTGGTTGCAAAATGTCAGCCCATTAAGATATTTTATCAGATTTTTGTCTGCCAGATTATAAAATATAATCCCTCATTACAAAGCACAGCACATGTAAGAATATTAATAATTTTCATACTCAAATCTAACAAATTCCAGGAAACCTTTTTAATAATACTAAAAACTGTTTTACAACAATTACAGATATTCTATATCCGTATGTTTTTTTTTCTTGAATTTATATCTCTCACTAATGAATTATTCTCAATATGTTGCTTAATCTTCTCTGGCTAAGGTTTTCATAATTTAAAGAAGGATTAAAGAAAGCGTCAACAGTAGACAAATTGAGGTAAACAATTAGATCGTATCTGATGCTCTATCTTATGGAGATAAAAGAAGTTTGGGGATTTGAAAGTTTATGTACCCTTAGGAGCTTCAAAACATTTTTTTATCCTTTTGTTATTCTTTGATTTCTCAATAAAGATGTAAATTATGAGTTTACTACATATTTTACTAGAGGTACTTGAAATGCTTTGTAGAGACCATGAGAAATAAAAACATTTCTATTATTTTCGTTGACGTAAATTTCTGTATTTAAATACATATTGCGTTATTGTTTTTACGTATTTTTGTAATAGCATGCATTGTTTTATTTGTTTTTTATTTGTTGCTTTCAGGTGAAAATTTTAGGGTTTATTTTCCATGTAATTGAATTTGCGGTCACATATTCTCTATAATTGTAGATCTTTTAGTTTTGAGTCCAACAATTGTAAAGATAGCTTAAGCCCTATGCTGTCCAACATTGTAAACTTAGCTGAAGTAGAATACTAAACATAAGCAAATACTCCTGGCGAAGACTTTTATCCAGATAATGGTGATATTAAATAAGTTTTCCGCAACTTGGCGATTTTCTGGATGATATGGAAAAACACATTTTTTAAGCCTTACAGAATTTTTCCGAAGCTTTCGGAAGCATATGATATATTTACCCATGTTCTTTGCTTTGCTATATAAATATGGCTCCTAGAGCTAGGATTATTTCGTAGTTATCAATCAGCTGCAAGAGTTAACGGTTCATAAAGAGTTAGCTGAATTGCGTAGGAGTATATTTTGAAAGCGATTTTCAAATTTAGGATATTTCTTGGAGAGAGGAATAGCTTAATACTTTCCATCTCTTTGAGTTTACAGCTATGTTGCTGTTTGTGGCTTATCCCATCCAGTTGGCAGTAACATCGGATCAGGTCTTTTTGATATTAGAGCAAGTCCATGAAATTCGCTGTGGCAAAGGGTCAAGATTGCGCCTGCCGTTGCAAGAGAGCCTCGAGCACCATATTGGTGATAATATGACTTTGCTCAGTTCAGCCCCCAATTTTGACGCAGAGCACCACGGGGTCAGGTCCAAGGGTCTTCCACCCCTCTTCCTCTACCATCGACAGGACTTTCATCTCGCTGCATAGCTACAGTGCCCCCCATTTCGGACAGACATTATACATTTACAAACATCCATGTCTTCTCGGGGCCCTTCCATACAGCAGTCAGCGTAGCTAACCGCTATCCTGGTTGGGCGGCACAGCTATTTATTTTGCTGAGCGTCAATATTGTTCAATTTCTTTCAGCTCATCAGGAGTTATTATTCAGATACAGGCAAGAATCCGTAGCCCGCAACACTGTATCGTATTTTACGTGCAATCAAATACAGAGTGAATAAGTTTTAAATGGGACTTACCGGTATCCATGCAGCTTTGATACAACGTTTTTACTAATTGAATGAAATAAGGTTCCTTTTCTGTAACATCCTCTTGTAAGAGATCTAGAACCAAAGGAATAATGTTATGTAACTGAAAGCTGCTTAAACATTGTTTTTACACTTGCAAAAGATCTCCGAGTGAATGACATCAGTTTTTGTCTTCGTATCTAACCATGAAATTAATAATGACTAATATAAAATACTCCATATACGTAGAAATAAAAGAGAAATAGAGAACTTTTTTTAAAAGTAAAGATAAGAGAGAATAGAGGATTTTTTTAAATGTGGAAATGACTGAATAACATTCAGGCTTCTAAACAGATTCAAGATTTAAGAATTATTTTAAAAAATTAAATTTTCAAGATTTATTTAAAAAAAATTAAATTTTTGAGACTTATCTTGGCTACGTTGTACAGCTCCATCCAAAATCTGAGTGCAATTTCAATATTTAACCAAACTTAGAAACTAAGAATTTTTTCGATGTGCTGCAATTTTAATACTGTTGGAAAAAAACTACCTAAAGTGAAACTGTATTAATTTATCGCATCCATGTTCTGATAAATTACAAATTAAAGAGATTATTATAATTTAAAGGTTCGCTGTGATTTTCTGGTTTGCATAAGCTCATGCAAAATATTACTCAACGTTTTCTTGCATTTCTAACGGGAAGAAGTCCAAGGCTTCGAAATCTATTCTAACATTTTACCAACAGAAATTATAATTTCATTTACTCCTAAATAAACAGACTGAAAGCAGTCGCAATCGGATGGTTTTAGTTTACTGGTAACGATTAAATGAAGCATTTGTTGTGGACTTTGTAAAGCGCATAATTTACAATTCTACATTATTAATTCCTTCATCTATTTAAATATTCTCGACTAAGTGAATCTGAAAAACGTTAGGACTAGACGAAAGATGAAAGTAAGTTATAACAACTATACTAATTGTTTATTTGTTTTAAATATTATAAATTATCCATATATCATCATTATTTGATAGAGGAGTGGATCTTATTAGAAAGTACAATAATACAAAAACATTGTTTATAACGGCAGATCACACCCAATACGCAGATACATATAGATTACTTCATAAATATAGACCCCCCCCTTCAGTGGGCGAGTGGTTAAAGATCGCTGGATACTAAATTTTTGTTCCGGGCTCACACACAGATGAACGGGGAAGGGGGTTGCATGGTAGGTTTCCGTAGTTTTGTAGTAATGTGAATAAAAGCCAGTTTCTCTTAGAGAGCTCTCTAGGAAGGCGTCCGTCTCCCTAGACAATCGTGTGCGTTACCATATTTAAAAACCATAAACTAAGCCAAACCATTAAAAAGCCCTCTCCCCACTTTTGGAATTGTAAGATGGCTTAAAGCGAATTCTTCTCAAGTCTTTTGCGGTAACCAAATAATCCAATTCATAAACAAGGAACAATTTTGCACTTAATTTTAAGATATTATCATTTTTTAAGTAAAACGTTAGCCGTACATAATTTAAAAAAAATAGAAGACGTATTGTCGCATTTTTAATTATATTATCTGAACATGAACTGTTTTTGACTGATTATTCGAAATGGGCAATATGATTGTATGTTGGTAATTTCCAATACAGTTCCAGTTCCCGCATGCAATAAAGTAATATCATTTCGAATAGCCTCCCCTATATGCCCATTAGGCGACCAAGCAGTCAAAACAGCTAAATACTGGTAATTCAATTCGTTTCATATACCTGCGAACGGTTTGGTTGTATAGGAAGCTACGTCATTATATGAGCCAGTTCCTCTCAAATCATTCTCTATGTAGCATCCCTCCCTATAGGCAGCTAGCCATTTCCTGCTTTTCATAACTTAAATAATCTATTAAATTATGATTATGATCTCCAATATCTAAAGTTGTGGCGGTTTGTTGCTTTGTTTTCCGTGTGAGATCTGTGACCAAACAGAATTTCGTCTCTATGTGTGTGAACTGTAATTAAACACACACATAGTATTACAACAGTCCCATGTTGTACAACACTTCTATGTGGCAGGTGCATAACGGTAATATACCGTAAATTTTGTGCGGTTGGAATGTGTGTTCTATGAAAGTGATTATCGGTTTGATAAGTGTCTATTTAAATGCTATATAGATATGAAAAACCAGTCGTAGCAAACTTTCAGTTTTACCCTGTCAAGCTTTTTATTACAAGAAATAACTGATTTACAAGTAAAATATGATTTTTTTTCATTTTTATTTATTAAACTTTATCTAGATTACCTGTTCAGCTATTTCTCAGTTGCCCGGCATTTAATTAAAGTTATGCTTATTTTTCGTAATACAAAAAGTAAGAAACATCTTCCCTTTTAAATGAAAATCTCAAGTTTCACATAATAATGCTTTTTTTTTTCATTTAAAACTGTCTATAATGCATACAATTAAATTTCTTTGAAAAGTTAAACATATTTACTTACTTTTAAGTTTGGTATAAAAGCTCGATTGAGTATCATATAATACAGAAGTTTTTGAGTTATAGTCAGGAATGAAACGTTTATCCATCCAGTTGCCACAAGCGAATTGGTAAAAGTCTTCGCAAGGGTCAGCAGTTTCGTCCAAATTAGAATAGATATCGGCAGCTAGAAGGTTAATGACAAATGAGAATTTATTTTTTCAGTATTAACTACTATGAAGTGTCCTGAAACTGTTGACTTCACTACTGCTAGAAAATACAAACGATGTCGTTGAGAGCATTCCATAATATTAAAACAGGAGATTTCAAATTCATTATCAGATCCTTACATTCCTAAAGACAAGGCGTTTAAAGTTTATAGTAAATATGAGGAATTTATTCCATATGTTTCTGAAGAAATATAATCCGCTGTGTTTGCGTAAACGTTTAAGGAATAAGACTGTGATGAAGACCCAATTTCCGATCAGAGGTTCCCCACTAGTGGTTGAGTGGTTAAGGACCACTCAGTACTCAGGGTCGATCGTAGGCAAGCGGGATGGCTGCATAGCTGGATTTTCTAATGTGCAACGTTTTTTGAAAAAGAACCAGTTTCCCTTAGGAAGAACTTTACAAAAACATTTCTCTGTCCTTAGTGTACTTTATAGCAGTGTTTCTCAACTGGAGTTTACTCCAAGGACCGGTAAAATATTTCGGTACGTTCTCGCAGACCGGTAAGTTTAATAATTGACCCATTGACACAATTTTTTCACATAATTAAATCATGAAGACAAAAATAATTTTTAAAGCATTTTATTTGTTGTAATTTACATATGTACATTCAACTTAGTTTGGATTTTGGACAGATAGCTGGATATTTCGTGCACTGGGTTCTTGTGTATTTCTGAAGGACCGGTGCCGGTCCGCGGGCCGGCGGTTGGGAAACACTGCTTTATAGTATTCAAGTAACCTAATCTAATAGCTCAGAGATTTCAAGTTTGCTAAAACGCAATGGATTGTGCAGTGTAAACAACGTCTCTTATTAGAAAGAAAAAAATAGATTAAAACTTTGTTTCGGTATACATTTTTTAAAACAAAAGCATTTAATTTTAAGATAGCTTTTTTTCATTATTTTAAAGCTTTTAATCTCTTTTAAATCATTAACATATCCAAACTAAAAGCAGTTGAAAAACATTTTGAAGTATTTTACACATGAAAAATTGAGTCCATCTTAAAAATATCACTTGCTTTTATCTTCAAAGTAATATTAACATGAAACAAAATGAAAATATCTCGTCATCATTCAAAACTTTTTATTTAAGCTTAGGCAATATTCTTTCGGATATTTATGGATTGTGATAAGCAGTTTTATGTCGTTTTTCAGTCAAAATATCTAAATGAAACAAACAATCACAGAGCAAATAAATTTGAAGAAAAATACGAAAGGTAACTTTGAATCTCGAGGAACAATTGCAATAGCTATATTACTATAATACCAGAAAAGCATCTCTTTATAGTGTGAGATATATTTTTAATTATTTGTTTAATATATTTAAAATTATTTTTACTACATAAAAATCATTTTGTTCTTCAGATTAGCTTACTTAAAGATTTAATTCGATGTATGCTGTGGGCGAGTCTCTTTTCCTTATATCTTCTTACGCTAAAATTTTTAGTGTCATGTACTCGTACTGGACACTCTAGTACTCGATTACTCGGAACTACTGATAATGTCGGGATCTAAGAAATTCTAATTGCTTTATTTCACAAAATTAAAACTTTTTGAGAGAACAAAATCATTTCATCGAAAAGCATGTCAAGTAGGCAAACTGAATATTTTAATTAGTATCAAAAGTTTCTTTGAAAATGATAAATCTTTAGTTTTTTTTTTTTTTTTTATTTTTCTTCAATACCAAAGAAAATGAATTTGCCTTAGGGCAAAAATATCTTAAGTGTAGAATAAAAGAACACATTTTGTCCAACACGTCACAATGAAAAGGAGAAAGGAGCGGCCATTGGGATTGTAAATTCATTATGTAAACGGTAGATTTTCTGTATGTGTTATGAAGATGCTTATCATATGTCTTAGTGTTTCTTGTGCGTCATGAGAAGGCTAACATTCGTTTAATGTCTACTACTATTTTAAGTATGTTTTCAACTTTAATATGTTAATAAAAGCAAAAAAATTATTTTTAACTCTTGTCTTCTTTAAAATAATTCAGTCACCTGAATAATGCCTATTAGGGAAAGGAGACAGTAAATTCGAGTGCCACTCAAGCAATAACTTTAGGTGACCGAGTGGTGTAATGAAGCATAATATTTCCCTCCTCGGTGCCGCTAGACTCAGTTAAGACCATCTTCGTATTGTGAGGGAAATTGAACTCGTGTAGAAAGACCATAGAGGTAGGAAGTTATCCTTACCTCCATGAGAAAGACATAATCGGGCCGTTTATCTATGTGATGTAGATTCAAAGCAGCACTGCAGCTGCACAAGTCTGTGGTTTACAGCCAACAATAATCGTACAAAAACCTCTTTCAAAATTAAAAATTGAAACAAGACCATGTATTTAAATTCAAGGCTTATATAGAGAGAAAGGAATTTAAGTACTCTGTTTCAATTAGAAAAACAGAATGTGCATTTAGATCATAGTGTTCCGTCCTTGTTTAGCTCATTACCTATTTTCGAAAGTTTTTATTCAATGCCCTTTTGGATTTTGTTTATTGCTGTCTAATTTTGTAAATGATATATGTTACGATATAATTTTGAACGTAATCTATAAGCAAGGAATAAATATATACTGAAAATTTTAAGTATCTATGTATTGCCCTTAATTTGCATAAAACAGTATTTTAAACCTTTTCATGATATTCGAAATCACAGTAGCAACGGCTTAAGATTTGGGCGTCATTGCAAGTACAGACTTGTGGTCTTATTTTAAGAATTTTAGAGAGATTTTTGTTTGCATTTGTTTTTAATTCTTTGCAAAATACAGCGATATTGTTTCTATGCATTAAATCAACAGGCATAAATAGTCGATTGATTCTAATCTGGTGCAATTCGGTTTTAGTTTGCAAATTCATTTTGTAGATATATCTGCAAAATTTACATAAACGTGTTTGCTTAAAAGTGTTTAGGCAACCAAATTACTCAATCTCATTCCTATTGCCCACTTTCTTCTCAACGCTTTCTTGCTTCAGGACGAGCAAGGCCATTTGAAATCTCCTTTTTCCTCATAAAGTGGGGTAGGGGGGAAGACAAACATTAAGTATCTATGATTTAGGGAAATAAAAATTTCTATTGATTATGTTTAGAAAAAAATTGCGTTTTGTGTTTTGTTTTATTAAATTTAAAATATTGAATTTTTTACCACAATCTTATTTAAAATAAAAAATAAAAATAAAGAAAAATGTCTATTATTTCATTCCAATAAACATGTAAGTAAAACAAACATAAAAGCTAAACAATCTATTATGTTGTAAGGATCTTAAGTTTTACTAACGTTTATTTTATTTTAAATCTTTACTATCACTTCTTATTTTCTACTTCCGGCCAGAATTATAAGCGTTAAGGTTTTTATGCAAAGTTTGTCTGGCGAACGCCAAGTATTTAAGTTGTGGCCTTTTGCCAAGCGAGAGAGAGGAAGCAGTGAGTTCGAAGCAGGCCGCTTACCTTAGAAGTTGCTTGTTGCCTTCCAGGCCAGAGGTTTTAATCCTCTTGATAACTTTTAAACGTATTGTAGTGTTCTCAGTTATCTGTACTACATACGCCTTCCTGTTAATATAAGGCCAATCTTCCACGTTTATTAGTTTAAAGTTAAATGAGAGTTTAGTTTTATTTTTATACTTTTACGTTAGACCCCGAGTAGCGGGTCAGTGTATTCCGAAGTACGGAAGTTATTGTATATAGAGAAAAATAAAGGGTTTTGTATACCCTTCATGTGTATCCTGTCTACTTACCACAACTAGTGAACATAGCTTTAGTAAGCTCTCTGTTCCGAGTCAGGTCCTTGTATGTTCCCGAAGAAGGTAAGAAGGAACATTGACCCTCATAGTGGCGCCCAACGAAGAAGAATAACCATGGCCGAGTTTCAAGAAGAACCTGTGCTGCCTGCAGAAACGGCTCAGAATCCAGAAATGCCTGCTGCCGCCCTGGAAGGATTTGGTTACATCGTCCAGACCATGCGCGCTTCGATGAAACCAGAAGCAACATTTAAGGGAAACTCACCGGTAACCAGTTTTTTTGGAAAAATTGGATGACCACTTCATGGCTCTCTACCCCGTGCACGAGTTTCAAAAAGTTACCTTAGCTACCAGCGCTTTGAGGGGCCAAGCGCTTAAACTGGTTCAAATGTATAGGCAGAAGTCTCTTGGGTCAAGCAGGAAGTCCCACCTATACTTACGAAAATTTCAAGGCTGCCCTACTAAAAGCCTTCCCTGTTGTAAGGGATCGTGCGAAATTAGAAACGGAACTTTTCAGTATATATCAACAAAGAATCGAAAACCTCTCGAGCTTTATTTTAAGAAAAATTCACGTTTTCAAGCTCTTGTATGGAAACCGTCCGGATCCTGAAATAATTCAAGTGATTTTGCCGAGGTTACTACCCCAAGTGCAAGACTTTATTGAATTAAGAAATCCGACTACACTGGAAAAGTTATTTGAGCTAGGAATCCAGTTTGAAAGTAGAAGAACGGCGGACGTCGAAAGAAGACGCCACTATCAACAGCGAAACCAATTTGGTACGCCAAGACTACAGCAAACTCAAGCACATGGCTACGGAGAAAAAGTGAATCAGTGGGCAAGGAAACCGGAGCATTCAAAAACAGCCGGCGAACGTCGACAGTTCAATAGCAACCCAGGAAAAAAGTCTCAAGGCCAGTGGAAAAAGAAGGAAAGCACGGAAAGGAAAAATAATTTAAACTAAAACGGATTTCTGCTGCTGACGAGAGGGTGCGGAAATCCGAAGGCCACGAAAACCCCTCTTCCTACAAGTTAAATACAGTAATGGTGAAAAATTTGACTCTTCCGAAGATTGAAGTCTTGGTGAATAATATCCCAGCCACCGCACTCCTGGATACCGGCGCGCAGTGTTCCTGTTTGGCAGAAGAGTTTTTTAGGAAGTATTTTCGTTTTCGCAAATACCGCATATATAATGCGGATAATACGACAGTGTTTAGCGGCGCAAGGAGAAA